CGTGAAGAAGGGAGACGTGAGTCAGCCCAAAGGTCAAGGTCAGAAAAGACTCTCTCTTCACAATCACAGATCTGGGGAGTCCCCGAAAAGGAAGATGGAGAGGCTTTGGGGAAGGAGATGCCTGCTGTCTGCTGTGGCCGCCACAGTGGCAGGGCAGGCTGGCACTCGGGGAGCTGCAATGTCAAGGGGCAAAGTCCCTCTGGCTTCCGCCAAGTCCAACATTTGGTTGCAAAAGAACAGCATCTGGAAATGCTTTTTTCTTCTACTGGATGGAATTCCATATGGACAGTCACTTCAAATATGTATTGAAAAGCCAAAGCTTAAGTCTACATCAACATTAAGGGGGAAAAAAGGGGAAAAAAAGGAAACTTGGCAGAATTTTTTTTTCCTAAAATAAGCATTCCATATTCTAAAACCCTAGAAGGAAGTTTGGAACTTGTCTCAGTTGTTCCGACTCTCCATACAAAGTGGACAATATGGCCCTGTGGACCCAGCCAAAGAGCTCTTAGAATCTAACCGGTGTCCTTCAAACTGTAGCCCTGAGAGCGAGAAATGAGGTGCATTTCGATCTTTCCTCGTTGTTCTCTGTCTCTGTTTGTAACATCTATAAAATTCAGTTACGAGGGATTTGAGTCATGAATGACTTAAAAAAAGGAAAGGAAAATATCTAATTATAATCATGATTATTAACAATTAACTTTAAAAATCTTTTTTAAAGCAGTTAAGATTTTAGATTCTTCAGGCATTCTGACATCCTTTGCTTCCAATTCTCAGGACATCACATTTCTTGTTTGATTAAAGTATTCCGAGCCCTAGGTAAGCAATATTTCTACAATTCTAAGGGTCCATCTTACAGATAGGAAAACAAAGTCTTCATAGTATAGAGTCTTGCTGCAAAATCCTTCTTTTCTAGCAACTTGATTCAGTAATTCTTCCAACTGTGCTTTAAAAAAATCCATAAGACTGGAGAAAATGGAATCTTTACTGATGTAAAGAATTAATGAGCTCTGCATTCTGAAATTCTTGACTGGTTGACTTGAAGGCAACTTCTTTTAAAAATCCTTTTTAAGATAAAGATAATTTAAAAATTTTAAAAGTCAAACAATGAAAAACAAGAAAACAAGCACTGGAGAAGACTCTCTTCAGGGTTCCAATGTGGCTCAATTCCAGAACACTCTTGGCTTACATTTCCCAACCTTACCTTTCCCCCATTCCTGCCCTCACCTCTTCACTTCTGAACTCCACCACTGTTTTCGCATCACAGGACCTGGACACCTGACACCCCACTGAATAGCACCTGAGTGTGAAGTTTGCCTTCCACGTCTTCCCTGATGCCTGGGCTAAGAATACTGCAGAGTACATTACAGTTGCCCTATCTTACCCTGTGAAATATGTTTGTGTGGTGTACTCTAATTGTTGATTTCCTTTATTAAATTCCTTCTAGACAAAGCTCAAGAAAGTCAGAGATTATCCAGGAACTAATGGTTGTGCAACACCCAGTAATCCCCAGTAAATATATGAAGAGATTCTAAGTAGCCCAAAAAGTCATTACTGCTCAAAATAAGTAAGGCCTATTCTGATTTAATATAGTATATGCTTCATGTCTGAATTCAACACAGTATAGGTAAAGCAGAAAGAAACAAAATATTTAAATACTGCAAAAGTATTTAATCTGAAAGGGAAGGATTTAAGGCACATATAAACACAAGACAGTTTTAAATATTTTAATGAAACATCTCCATTAACCACAAACTCTTTTTTCCAAGTGAAAAAAAAAATTATTCGTTAGCACTAAAGCAATATACATTGCATGCAAAGTGGACTAGATGGCACTGTGGACCCAACCAAACATCTTTGTGTTTCTTTAAAGTTACTTACTTTCCAAATAAAACCATGTACTTAACTAACCTAAATAGGTATTTATATATAATATATTTTAAAGTAAAATTATATTTTAGGGGAAAAGGCAGTGAATCTCAACCTAAAATGATAAAGCCATAAATTGTTTAAATGGTAATATTTGCCATTATTCTAGTGTTGCTTTCAATAACAGAAATAATCTTCATCATTTATTGTATATTTTGTGTTTGCAAGAGAAACCAAGAAATATGTGAAACAGTGAGTTCCAGTGGAAGTTAGTGGTTTCTAAGACAATGGGTTCCATAGGGTTCCTCAAATGGGTAAATTAAGAAGGAAGATAAAGTCCAAGGAGACATCACAGAGGAGCTGGAACTGTGGCATTAGGCGAGATTCAGGCAAGCGGAATGGCATGCCAGGCAGGGGTGCCCTGAGAAGAGTCATGCAATGTCCACAGCGAACTGGATGCCCAGTGAGGAGCCCAGGGGCTAGGATTCCAGGAGCAGAAAGAAAGGGTCCCAGGACCTCAGGGAGTTAGGTTCACATTCACTGAGAACATCCAGGAGGCTTTGTACGTGGAGGAGAGACCTAGAAGTGTCTTCGTGTTTTAAGAAGATTCATTTACCCACAGTATACAAAAAAGGTTGAAAATGGAAAAAAAAACCTGGGAAAGGAAGTGTGTATCCCAAGGATGGTGGAACTGGCAAGGCAAATGAAAGAACCCCTCCCAAAGTGGCTAACAGGTAGTTAACACTAACACAAGACTCAAGAGTGCCCTCACCCAGGGTTCTACAACAGCTCCTTAACTGGTGCTCGTGTTTCCATCTCTGCCTCACTGGAGCCAGGGGCATCTTCTCTCACCAAATAAAATTCTCCCTGCTACCTCAAACAAGGCCTAGAACGCTGACAACACCAGCAGTCAAGTTCTTGCCTTTTCTCCAACCCCACGTCCTATCTCTCTCTCACTCACTGCACTCTCACACATCTCTGCTCCTTTGCATGCAGCTTCCTCTGCCTGAAATTGGTCTAACTCGTTTTTGCCTTCCTGACCTAGAACCTTCTCTCTGTCTCTCCCATATATAAACACACACAACCCTCCATTCTCTGACTCACACGAATCCTCTGCGTCTCCATTTGGGTGTTGCTTCCTTGTGAAAACCGATTCCCTCTTACCAGACTAGATGAGGTGGTCTGACTAGGTGGTTCCACAATACTGTGGATTTCCCTGTACCACCCACCACAGTCGTCATCACTTGTACGGTATCTGCCTCTTCGCTAGTCTGCAAGTTCCCTGAGGACAGGGACTTTGACATGGCTAGGACTCTGTTCACAGTACCCAGTCCCATGCCTTGAAATGTGATAGGCACTCATAAAAAGGTTCATGAGATAAATTAATGGGATACCAAAGTGTCAAATGTTCATGATTGGAATGCTCTTTTGGCCCCAACACTTTTATCGAAATTCAGGCCTTGGGAGAGGAAGCCACCATGCAAAAAACTGCCAGCAGGTTTGCATGGATTCTTCAGGTATCTAATGACCTCTATTTGGCCTCACCTACTCAGGGTTTTATTGCCTTTTACTTATCATATATATGAATAGTCTCCACCTACTATCACCCAAAGCCAAAGAAAATACAATTGGCATATTCTAAACTCTATTTTCTCTCCTCTAATTCCCTACTTATGAAATTATTTTTTAAATTAAGAGATATAAAGTTGTCAAATTAAAGCATTCTTCATTTTTAACATGCCAAATGTTACTCTTAGAGGACATATTTTATTCTTCCTATCCTAGGAGGATTTTTCTCATCTGCTGTAATTCACTGATAGATGCTATCCAAACAACCCAAAGAATGATTCAGCTTTGAAGCAAGACCTGAAGCAGCTTCCCTCCTACCATGGAAAAATGCCTGATTTTTTACTTCCATTATAAACTTTCAGGAGCACTGGCAAAGGAAATAAAAAATGCTCTTTCTCTTTCCATTTATTAAACAAGTTTCCAAGCATGCTAGAAAAACATTGACTAGAATGTAAGCTGGAAGACAGAGCCCGTATCTCACAGTACTTCATGCATTATAGAAATTTAATGAGTTTTTATATTTTCAAAATCTTATCAAATTGTCAGTCTCAGAAAGCACTTCCCTAGCTTAGAACTCTCCCATGTCTTCAGCCCACCAAATGGATAAAGAACACACAGGAATTTAAATCTTTTTTTTTTTAGCAGGTTTTATTGATGGGTTGTGGGTTGTCTCCAGAAACCAGAAAAGCTATGTTCTCTTACTTTCAGTTCCTCCTGTGCCTCCAGGATCTCACAATGCTCTTCCTGGGGAAGGGATATAAATTGATTTTCCAAGGCCCAGTCGTCTCTTAGCCTTAGAAACTTAGTAGCAAGACTGGGTATGGTGGCTCATGCCTGTGATCCCAGCACTTTGGGAAGCGGAGGCAATAAGATTGCCTAAGTCCAGGAATTTGAGACCAGCTTGGGCAACATGGTGCGACCTCATCTCTACAATAAACCAAAAAAATTAACGCCAGGCTCAGTGGCTCACACTTGTAACCGCAGCACATTGGGAGGCAGAGGTGAGAGGACTGCCTGAACCCAGGGGTTCGAGGCCAGCCTGGGCAACTTAGCAAGAACTCTTTTCTACAATAAATCCTGGCATGGTGGTGCACACCTCTGGTTCCAGCTACTCGGAAGGCTGAGGCGGAAGGATCGCCTGGGCCCAGCAGGTCGAGGCTGCAGTGGCCGTGAGCGTGCCACTGCACTCCAGCCTGGGCAACAGAGTGGGACTCTGACTCAAAAAAAAGACAAAAAATTAACCAGATGTGGTGGTGTGCACCTTTAGTTCCAGCTACTTGGAGGCCTGAGGCATAAGGATCTCCTAATCCAAACAGGTCGAGGCTGCAGTGGTCATGATCATGCCACTGCACTCCAGCCTGGGCAACAGAGTAAGACTCCAACTCAAAAAACAAACAAACACTCAACAGCAATAATGTTTGGGGGTTTTTTGTTTTGTTTTGTTTTTCCTTCTCTTTTTCCAGAATGCTGCAGCTGTTTAATATCAGTTGGGGAGGAGTCTGTGGGGGAAGCAGCTAGCTGAGTAAGGGTGAAGTACAGGAAAGCAAGAACATGACATATCAAAGGCCCCTCTGCCCTGCCTCAGTGGCTTGGTCCTTCATTGGCTGCATTTCTCTTTGTGCTGGATCACGCCCTTCTGAATCAGATCAGGGATTTTCACTGCCAGCCCTGGGCCCAGCCCCAGAGCCATAAGATGAGCTAATCCAAACTTGGGCATGTTCCTGGTCCACAAAGGTTTGAAGTGATCTGTCAGGCATATTTTGCCACCCCTGTACATCTTTGCTGCCTTCCACCCAGCTCAGGGACTGCAATTTCTGGAGCAGTGGTGGGATAGGTGACAGGAATGTCAAACTCGATGTCAAACTCATATTTGAGGAGGTCATGGATGTACCAGCATTTTCCAAACCACCGAGTCCCTTCCTTGCTGGACTCCAGTCGGAACCAGTCATTGTCGGCATTCTTGTCATTTTCCACATACCGAATAAGGGATTGATATTCTTCCTTCAGTTTCTGCATCCACAAATCCCGATCTTGGGGTCCAGCATTCATCTTCAGCACCGGGATCTCAGACACAGCATGCCGGGTAGCCTCATCCACCATCTTGGACCAGCAGGACTTTAAGCAATAAAAGGTAATAAAAAGATTAAAAAGGAAAACTGGAAGAGAAAAACTAAATAAAATGAAGTTGTATTGACCAAACTCTTTGAGACTTAACTCAGAGATCAGGAGAATATCAGTGTTACACTGCTATCATTGTCTATGTCTCTCTGTTACAGTTGTTTACATGCAGAGTTTGAGTTTTTCTCTCTCGTGGTTCCTCTATCCACTATATGCTAAGTATGTCATAAACCATTCCACTTCAAGAAGATATGAGAGTAAACTAAAACATTTAGGTTTCAGAGAAAGGTTCTAAAAGTGAGAATCGCATAATACTACCAAAGTTGTTTAAAGTACAATCAAATTATCTTCATCTGAGGTTGTCAAGAAATGAAAACATCTGGCTCAACATAGTAGCCAAGTAATACAGATTTTCAAAGAATTAGAAAACAATACATTATTCTATAACAAAAAATTGTGTCTGACATAATCTAATTTGTACTTGATCCAAATTCCCTCTTGGTCTTCCCAAGTCCAGTGACCAGCATTTAGAATGTCATTAGGCATTGACTTTTATAGGTTGGAAGAAAGGAACTGAGCTGAAACCAGACCGTAAGGTATCTGGAAAGTCTTGTATTGTTGAATATATCCCTGATCCTGAGAGTGACTCATTTATTTACATGTCAACTTTTCTCTTTGCAGGTGGCAATTTAATGACAACCTCACTTCAAATTAAATAGTCACTAAGTCAGGAAATATGGATTCCTGCCTTGAGTCTGCCACTACCTTTGTGACTTTGAGCAGATCAAAAAAACTTTGTAAAATAAGGAGACTGCTGAAATAGTTCATCAAGACCAAGAAAGACCCTGTCTCCAATAAAAATCTGTGACGGTAAGAATAGCCATTCTTAGAAAGTTCTATGAAAGAAAAGTAGCAATGGAACGATAAAAAGATACTTTGCCTTTTTCTGTTCAGCAAGTGTGAAAAGCAACGCATGAACACAACAATCACTCTATTGTGGGAAGACCCCGAGCACTGGCAGTGAAGTCTCTGTCTCTCCCGAAACTTCTCTGAGGAGACCTGGGTGTGATAGCTGGCAGATGAGAGTTAGGCCTTTAGAATGGGCAAAGTTAGGCCTGGAGGAGGGCTTTAGAACAAGTTCAGAGTAGGGAAGCACCGTCTACAGAGTTGAGGAGCCCTGCTTGAGTCCCATACCTGCTCCCCTGCCTGTTACCTCTGTACCCAGGACAACCTGCCTTCTGCCTTCATATTGCTCTTGCTTACAGCTTGACATTTCTTGGTCACCATTCTCATCTTGATATCCTGACATCTTGATACCTTTTACCTAGGCTGCAATATCTCACCCAAGCTCTTTTGGCTGCTTGACCTTTGAACTCACATTCCCACCACCTCAACTATTTTCCACATTCTTATCCCAGGCCTTGGCTTGGTGGTTTTTATTGATAGTTTTTACCAGCCATCCCCCAACACTAGACCCCAGACAGGAAAGATGCTGTCTATGAAACTTATTTCTACCCAATGTTGAAAACACTCTAAGTGTTCCTTCAGTTCATTCCTTATCTCAACAAATGATTCTTTGGAGCCTTCAAGGTGCCAGACACTATAAATGAAACAGAAAATAGTAGGTGGAAACAAGTGCTAAGATGAAAATGACACAGGGCAAGATTGTAGCATTACTATAGACTACTTCTTGTTGGGTGGTCAGGAAAGGCCTCACTTAAGTGGGGGGACATTTAAGCCAAATCCTGATTGGTAGGAAGGAGGAATCCATGCAAAGATCTGGGGAGAGGAAAAGCAAAAGAAATTCCTCTGGCAAAAGCCTTGAGACATAAACGAGGTTGGTGAATTGAGGAACAGAGAGGTCAACGTGGCCAGAACATAGGGAGTGAGGTGGAAAGAAGTCACGGTGAAACAAGAGAGTTAAACTGAGGCATGGAACGGAGGGCAGGATGGGCGGGAGTCGAGAAACTTAGATTTTATCTTAAGGGCAGCGGAGGCTTTAAGGTGTGAAGTGGCATGACATATTCTACATTTTAAGAGATGATGAGAAGACAAGTGTAGAACCAGGAGATCCGCTATAAACCTATTGCAAAGGTCCAGGCAAGACATGCTGGTAGCTTGGACTAGAGTGGTAACTATGGAGATTTTTTTTTAAGTATAATTTCCAGATCAAGGTGGTAGACAAGCTAATTGGTTAGAATACGCCATGAGGGAAAGAGAGATCAAAGACAACTTGTAAGTTTTTGGCATCTGGTTGATGGACACATCACTTACTGAGATGGGTAAGCCTGGGGAAGCAATGGTCTACTGGTAAGTGTTTAACAACCAACTCTCAGTTAAAAAAAAAAATCCTTGAATTGTAGCATTTGGCACACACTCTCACCATCGCCTAATTCCATCTACAAAAATGACGTCACTGAATGAGAGATGGTCACGAGGTGGTTTTCAGGACTTGGTAGAAATTAGGTCCAGCACATTGTTGATGGTAACAAGTTTTGAGGCGGGAATAAAGTCAAGAATTGTATTTTGGCACATACTAAATTTTTAAAAATCCTGATCAGGCTCGGTGGCTCAGTGTCATCCCAGCACTTTGGGAGGCCGAGACGAGTAGATTGCCTGAGTCTGCAGGTTCGAGACTAGCCCGGGCAACTTGGCAAGACCACATCTCTACAATAAATCAAAAATTAGCTGGATGTGGTAGCACACACCTGTAGTTTCAGCTGCTTGGAAGACTGAGGAGGAAGGATTGCAGGAGCCCAGCAGGTCGACACTGGGGTGGCCATGAGCGTGCCACTGCCCTCCAGTGTGTGACAGAGTGAGACTCCAGCTCAAAAAAAACCCAAGAAAGTCCTAATAGATGTCTAAGAGTCAAAAGTTATTGTATTTTTGCACAGTTGTATATAATTTTGTAATTGTACTTATACATGAGAACTAACTCATATCTTTGCAATCGAGGTACCTGGATTACATTATCTTAATTCCCTCTAGAAATGTTTCACTGATTTATTTTCTCTTCCTTCATTCTCCTCTTTTTCTGTCCTCTTTATTTTGTGCATACATATGAATGTGCATGTGTTCACTTTCTACTGCTGCTTTAACATGTTACCACAAACCTAGTGGCTTAACACAAATATATCATCTTACAGTTCTGTAGGTCATAATTAACTTGGTTCTCATGGAGCTAAAATCAAGGTGTCAGCAGGCTGCTTTCTTTTCTAAGGGCTCCAGGATAGAATCTGTTTCCTTGCCTTTCCATTTTCTAGAGACTACCTTCATTCCTTGATTCTTGGTTCTCTTTCTCCATTTTCAAAGCCAGCAAGTTGAGTCTTTCTCCTCTGTCATCACTCTGATTTTGCTTCCCTCTTTCACTTTTAAGAACCTTGTGATTAGGATAGGTCAACCCAAGTAATCCAGGATAATCTCCCTAAAGTCAGATAATCAGCAATCTTCATCTTCCTACCATAGTAAAAAATTCCAGAAAATAGGATGTGGACATCTGTGGGTGGCCATTAATTCACCTACCATAGTAAATGTGTATGTCTATATGTATGTATGTACATGTATATACACACTAGGGATAATGCATATATTTTTATGCTTGTATATCTCTGCAGAAATATCCATATATGCATGTAAAGACAAATTTATATCAATACCCTCATATATTTCTATAACACAAAAATTTCCACTTTTTTTTACAAGAATTTTGTTCCAGAAAGACTTCCCTCTCTACAAGAACAACTTGTATACAGTTATCCCTCCGTATCCATAAAAGACTGACTCCAAAGCCTCTCATGGATACCAAAATCCATGGATGCTCAAGTCCCTGATATAAAATGGTGTCATATTTGGGTATTAACTACGGACATCCTCTGTATACATTAAATCATTTCTAGATTACTGATAATACCAAATAAAATGTAAATGTTATGCAAATAGTTGTTCTACTGTACCGTTTAGGAAATAATGAGAAGGGAAAAAGTCAGTACGTGTTCAATAAAAAAGCAATTTTTTTCCAGATTTTTTTAATCTGTGGTTGGTTGGTTGAATCCATGGGCCCAGAATCAGTGGATATGAAGGGCCCCCTTACTTCCTTTGTTTGGTAAAAAGAACTAGAAAATTTATCATTTGCTCTGATCTTTTTTAAAAAATTTTAGAGCTGAATTTACATATCAGATATAATAGCTTACTAATATCAGGTGATCACTATATCTGTTTACCATCTTTTTCTTTTCTTTCTTTTTAAAGCAGGATTTACGAAGAGGACATAAAAGTTCCCACAGTGGGAGGGGACCAGAAGGGGTTGCCCTTTTTACCACCTTTTAATTAAAATATTGGCTCTGAATTTGAGTGTTTGCTTCTAACTGTACTGTATTATATTCATCTCATATTGGAAACCACCTCAAGTGATTTTTTTGGAGCTAGGGTAAGTTATAAGATATAAACAATAGCTGCTCTGGAGGAAATCCCAGGAAAGCAAAATGTTAGTGTTACACATTTTTTAACTCCATGCAGACCACAACATTAAAAAAAGAAGTCATGGAAAGCTGAAACCATGTGGCAGCAAGACTCCAAATCTCTTAGAAGAGGAAGAATATTCACACTAACTTTCCATTTTCCACAGTTTTGAGCTCTGAGCCATTCCAAGAAAATCAAAACGTGATAATCCCAGTCAAATAGAATATCCAAGAGAAAAAAGAAAGAAAACTTTCCAGGAAGAAATGGAGCCTGAGTGACTGGATGCTCTCACTACATGGAAAGCTTCGAATTTTCAAAGTCATGCCACCCCCTGGGCATTCATCCTTCCCTAATACTTCATCTCTAGAGCTAAGATGCCCACAGGCATTTTAAAGGATTTCAGAGATGCCGCTGTGTGTGCAGTACGTCACACACACTACAAGGACCAGACCCTGGCTGGAAGTAATCCCAGTTATTCCACAACCTGAGCCATGATCCGTACCCACTGCTGTCCTCAGTGGTGTGCTA